CACCTCAAACCAGATGTAGAGGTTTTCCACGATCGAATGGGCCCCGAGCATCTTATCGGAAGGGGCCCCGACAGAAGCGTAAGGCCCTCCATTTGAGTGAAAAGTACTCAGAACCCGGCGCGGAGGGCCCCCAAAAGATGGAGTGTACACGAACAGGCTATCAGATGACCCTGGTAGGGACCCTGGTAGGGCTCTAAATTCAAACACCGAGAACCAACGCGCAGGGCCCCCGAGCAATACAGTGTGGCCGAGGAGGCGAACAGTGGGACCCCCGATAGGTACGTAGGGCCCCATTCAAATAGCACGTGCCCAAGGCCCAATGTAGAGGGCCCCCGAACGATCGAATGAGCCCGAGCAGGTTATCAGGTAGCCCACCCCCCTCCACAAGAGCGTAGGGCACCCATACAGAAAAGAAGTACCCAAGGCCCAGTGTGAAGGGTCTCCAAATGACTGAGTGTTCCCGAGCAGGCCATCAGATGGGCTCCCGACAAGAGTGTAGGGCCCAAAGCAAGTGACATAGAATTGGAAACGCCCCAGACCAACGTAGAGGGTCCATGAGCATATCGTAAGTGTGTCGGTAGGTTAACTGAGACCCACGTAAAGGGTCCCTGAGTAACTGGGAATACCTCGGCAGGTTCAGGTACGGAATCCCGGCTACAGCTCACAGAGCCTCTCTGGCGAATGAAAAGAATCCATGGAAGGGGCCCGCGATTGACAAGAGTGTCCCGGCACGCTAACAGGAAGGGCCCCAACAACAGCGCAGGGCTCTCCGAGCAAATGCAAAGGAATGAAGGGCAACGTGGAATGCTCCTTAACGATCGAAATGATCCTGCAAGTGGGCATATAGGTCCCCCAGAAACGGCATGGAGCCCTAGACAATGCAATTGGGCTCAAAATTTCCAGTTCCCAACTTTTCTAAGCGCTGGATAAGATCTTGGACCTCTCAAGGTCCCTTTACTTTTGCTTACAACTGTTCTTTGTGGCCTGGAAGTCCAGAAATGCCCGTTTTATTGCGCTTTGTGTTTAAAAAGAGCTGCACCTGTTCGGTCCGCTATGGACCCCTCAGGGCCAATGGGCCCCTTCGGGCCCAAGAGGGGCATAAGCCCGTGCCGCCTCCCCACACCCCTGGATCCGCCCCTGCTTAAATGCCGTAATCGAAATTGGACGGCTGTTTTGCTTGTACGTCAGAACATTGAGGGGGCATTGAAGTCCGTGAGTGGGAAGCTGATCAAGGCCATTTCAAATCACCAACATTGTCCACCAGAAATCATCAAATGGTTGAGTATACTGTGCAAGGGTCCGGTAGCCAGAGTTTTGTACAGGGGACATCTAACAGGGCCAAGTCGTCCAATTCGCAGACAAGGTGATCCTTAAAATTGTTATTTATTTGTGGTTGATTGTTGAACCTTGCTTGTTCAGAGCAGCCATATGATAAGCAGTGTAAAAATAGGAATGTTAAGGACAGAAATATCAATGTAGAGAAATAACAAAAACAGAAATAGGTAATGTGTGTGTAGTTGCATTTGTCAAAGGTGTGTGTAATGTGCCACAAGTGAAACAAAGCCTGAAAAAAGCATGAGATGTGATGAAATGTGGTCTTTATAACCACTGGTATTTCTTTAAGTGGAAAAGACTTCTCTAAGCAACACAATTTCTTCCTTGCGCAGCACTAATTGAGAGCCGATTCATGACCGGGATATCTGGAAATCGTGCTCTCGAATACCAGATATGAGGGACTCGCATCTCAAATTGTGGACATTGATCGCCGGATGGCTAATAGAATGACCGAATTTTAACGACGTCATTATGGGGTCATAGATGCCTGGGTAACAATGAAATAATCTCCCCCAAAAACTCTGAGCATCTTCATGGGCGTGTAGCTCAGAAACTAGAGGGATTTAAGTGTTAGGAAAGGTGGGGCAATAAAATGCACCGAATGATCTTCAAGATGTTTTTTTTTTAGTTCAAAAGCTCATACAAATGTGAAACAATTCCTTTAAAATAATGCATTGCCGTCATCGCGGTTTTACGACGCAATCGGCTGCTGAAATCTTATGGCAACACCTGATTTTCACTCTGGCATGTAGAGCGGGTAACGCGGAGAATCGAACCCCGTCCTCTCGTTTCCCACACTCGCCGTGGGTACCACACACCCTAACCACTACCCTATTGCCACTCTTAAAACAATGTATGGTGTACCCAATGGATAGATATATTGGGTGATGAAAACTGCATGCCACTCTCTCTCACCGTTTGGCCTGTAAAAATGATAAAGTCGGACCATTCAAACGCGATTCATGGTAAAACCATTCGTCAGATAGGAGTCTGTTTCAGACAGTTGTCTGTAGCATCACATGTCGCATATTTTGGGACAAAAAAACACACCCAATTTCTCGAAAATGAGAGGAAAAACTTGAAAAGGGGTTTGACGCTCACTCATTTATAAAAAGGAGGATTTGTCTTGAAAATATAACTGCAGATTCAGAATGAATGTTGCAGAGTGAACCAGGAACAATGTTCAAAACACGTGCGTAACTTATTTCACAAGTTTACAATTTGGTCAATGTTCTTATGCCGGTATCAGAAGCATTTGCAACTCTTACCACCTATACCCAAAAATTGGTGAAAATTTGTACCGCAAATCTCTTTGTTCCAAAAAATGCCTCGTGCATCCTCAATGCTTCTTTATAGGTGGCACATGTCTCTGTCAAAAATGACTATTTATGATAGCTTCCATAGACCCCTAAGGGCAAGGATAACTTAATCACATTTGAGTAGCTCGTGTATCTTCTAGCTAAGTTAGTTCATTAGGTTACGGATGGCTGCTGAATTTTCCTTGTTAATCGTAATATGTCTGACGACTTCTATCTTTCATTTTGAAGACTCCCCCACTTAAGCGTATTAAGAATGTCTGAAACACAAAAAAAAGATTTCCGATGAGGTTTAGCAAAATCCACTTATTTGCTACTTATAACTTGCTACTAAATTCACTGATTTCAAAACACCAACAAAAATATTACGACTCCTCTCGACGCTACCCATCATATATTTTTCCGCGACAAAACCCGTTGAGTATTGTTCTGCTGGGTCGTTAATATCATATGTATTTAGCGATTTCGCATCCCCAAACTTTTTGCAGTGACCTAACCTAGAATTTTGGGCATTAAGGTATTCACAAAGAGAGTTATTGAACGTCCCAAAAGCACGCAGGCCTAACTTACAGAAAATATTATTCAAATAGAAATCTAACATAGCTCTTTCAAAAAGTGTGATCTAATCTGTTAAAGCTAGACCAAGACTGTTGACCATTTGCACTCGGAATTGATGGAAACAGGACCTCTGTAAATCAGATGGACATAATTCAACCGAAAGTGACTTAAAATGACCTCTGAAATCGAAGACCAATCTACCGCAAGGATTTTCCGAGCGAGAATTAAATTGCCGCCGTAAGTGACAAAATCATCGCATTTTTTGGCTCTCAAAATTTGACACTGCCACTCCTGCTTAACCCAAAATGAGCTCACAGTTAGCTATGGCGGTTATTCTAAAACGGATAAATATATAATCCAGATCGCTCATCCATATGCAGTGTGGAAAGAGGTTTCATTTCTTGTGCTATCTACCTCTGAAAAAGGAAATCGGTTAAGTTAAGTTAAGCCCATTGGTTAAGCAGCAGTCACTATCTCAAAGTCGTTTCAAAATCGAGCGAGGCCATCAGACCCCCGTTTTTGGATGATGACCAGCCATGTTACGTGCATAAAATTGCGTGACATGACATTGCACGGTCGGCAGTCTTATAACTTAGGCCTGATGTCACACGAGGAATATCGTTGTTAATTGATCCATTACATTCATTATGAATAGCTGAAAGGTCATGCACGTATATTTTTATGCGCTATCGGGCTGCGTTTGCTTTATGACGGAGCAAATCTCATCCAGCACTTCCTAGGCAACGATGGAGCAAACCAGCGATACCCCTTGGATCACGAAAGTAACAGCTGTCGGGTCCAGCTCTGGAAAATGAGTAGGCCCTAGTGTCCAATGGTTTGACTGTTCCCGTTAGATTGAGCCGCGCGATATAGAATTCAGGCGGTGCCTGGACAGGTCCGGGTCGTGAGCCCCGGCCGAGGAGCTTGGGGCACCTTATAAGCTCTTTGCGCTTCTATAGCCGACTGCTCCTCAAATACATTTTAGCCAGCAAGGTGGGAAATACGCCCGTACTCGCTCTGGTAGAACGTCACAGGCTACAACAAGGCGACCATTTTGTCCCGTGGGGTGATCTGCCGAACCGAAGCTGAATCCAAATGCCAACTGGGGCTCAGAAGTTCCATGGATTTGCTGGGGTAGGTACCCCGGAGGGCGTAAGTTGTGATACACAACATAAACTGGTAACCAGGCAGTGCCGCTTTGAGGCCATCTGGTGCTTCTTAAGTCATAGATGACTCCTTACGCCAAGCGCTCCCCTGGCGTAAGACACCGCGGCGTTTGTCCTCGAACAGCGTCCTTCCAGGGTCCTATTTTACCGCCTCGGTTCTTGGAATGTCTTCGAAATTAGGCATAGGTGTAAATTTTCATAGACATTCATTCATATTTTCTTTGGAGTTACGAGTAATTCCACACACCAAATGTGCTGTAATACATGCGATCTCTCATGTCCGCTATGATGCGTGCGGCCGTCCCAGCGTTAAAGGTGTATCCCCGATGACGTTACATAATAATTCTTCCTGAGAAGTGCGTTGTAGGAATGGTTTCACCTGGTATATAGCGCCTTGGTTTGATCTGCTTTTGGGGGGGGGGGGGGCAGTGGAAAGCCTCTTTTCTTCCTTGATGGCCTAAAGCCATCTCCGAGGGGAGAATGATTACTTCCAGGTTCGACAACTGAACAAATATCAAGTTCTCCTTGTGTTTTCTTCTTTTTTATGTTGCCTTTGGAAGAAATTATAAATGCTCTTGAGTTCTGAGGAAATGAAAAGGGTTTAGCCGCACCTCTGCTCGCCGCGATATCGCGCTGAGTGCGCCGGGTTGAGTGTGTGTCAGGATTGATGGAGGTGGAGGGGTGTGCTCGTGGGGTGGCTGCGCGCTTGTTGTGAGGCAGATTAGACCACGGTAGGAATTGGAGTCCCCTGAGGTCGTCAAGAGGGAAGGTAAAGGTGCGAAATATTTCGCCTCAATTGCTAGTATCGGAGGTGTGGCGGGACGCCTACTATCATGATGGTAAAATATGCTTGCTCTGAATTCTTCGGATGGGTGGCGTTACATTCAGTGAACAAACTAGGCCAGACTCTTGCAACACACTCGTCATCCAGGTAGTATCATGCCTGATCATTGGGTGAGTCTTGCCCCAGGTGGTTTGTCAGGCAGGGTAATTACTGAAGCCTTTGCTTGTACTTTATAGAGCTTAGGTTTGGCTGTTCAGTGCAGGGATTGCTCTGGCTAATGCCAGCTAAAATCCTATGCCTCAGGCATGTATTTTGCCTAAGTATGTTCTTCTTTCTGGTGGATGAATGTTTTCTTATCTGGGTCCTATGCTAAAGAGGATCTTCCTCAATATGCTGCCTGCTGGGAGGTATCTGTTTACCAAAGATAACAATACATTATCTGCTCAATTTGTGCCACTGGGACCATTACGCATCCACTTTCCACATCCTGACATCTCACACTGTATTATTGTAGGGGTTGCAGAAAATATATTTGGCAAAGTCCAAATGTCTTGATTATCAACACTGAGTGCATCATGATGAAATTAGCCGAAAAACTAGGTCAGCCATACATAATCCCACATCCTACCACCTTTACCAGTACTGACTTGATATCTTCATCCAGCCAGCTAGTTTATTATAGTGGTACTCTTGGCCTATTCTTCATATGGGCTAGCAAGACCTTTTGATGTGGCAGGTTGTGCTTGGAGCAGCTAATATCATAGTTTAGATTACTAACTTAGGATGTCAGTGCTTGAGTGATTTTTGTGTCAAATAGTACTGCAGTGTATTTTGGCACACTGCATAATAGAAGCACAGAACATGCTTTTTCTTATCTTGCATGTACCTTATGTTTTTTAATCCTATTTTTCACATAATCTTGTGCAATGCTGGCAACCATGCTATTGAATATCAAGTTTGTTTATAATGTATATAAGCGCTTACTTGATACCTTTATTCTATGAATAGGCAATAAGACCTGATATCTTGGAGGTTCATTATTCTGAGTTTGAGTTTTGATAATGCTAAAGATGGGAGATTTAGGACTTCTTCATGGGCTTGTATCTAGACAGTGCAAGCCTATTTTGTGCTTGCTCCAATTTTTGTGCCCTTACTGAAATTGTTCAATCCTAAGTCACCAGATATTTGGGGAATTCTTATTTAGATTTCAGAGCATGCAATAACTTGTAGTTGAAAAGATACATGGTTCACCCATTGTATGAAAGATTAAATAAATGGGTAGGACTGATCACTAAAAATGTTAGGAATTGTATAGAACAACTTCCATGTAGCAGTGGTCAGTGTCTATGAACACATTCTGACCCCTTGGTTGGGTTGCCATTCCCAGCTTTATGTCTGAACCCTTGTATTTTCTTATTTTTTATCTTCAGACTTTTTGGTGTGCTTCTAGTTATTTACACTGTGGAGCCTAGCTGATTTATTAGACATAAACAAACATTGTGATAGATTCCTGTTTCATTATTGTATCAGTAGCTTTCACAGGAAAAACTGAAGCTTTTCATTGCTTCCTGTTATGCCATGATGCTTTCTTTGCCTTGATTGCAACTTGGCAAAATTATTTTCCACAATTATATTATGTCTTTAAGTTTTTGATCACCACATGGCCCATGGAATGACAGGATTTTGATGACATTATTTTGTCACTATGGATGTTTGGATGGCTTTGAAATAGTCTTAACAAGTGTACATCTTCATGGGCATGCAGCTTAGAAACTAGAGGGGCTTATGTCTTCAAATGGCAGTGCTGCAAACTGCAGTAAATGATTTTCATGATGACTATTTCAGTTCAGAACCCCATACAAATGTGGAAGGCTTCCTTTAAGGATGCAACTTCGGGGGCAGGATTTTTTTTGCTGTAGTTAAAAATGATGACATGCACAGTAAGGTAATGAATGTTGCCAGATCTGGATATCCAGTTAACACCTGATAAAGGATTATAGTACAAGAGGTTGATACAATTTTGTGAATGTTGGCCACACAACAGGTTTTTAAACATTTGTTTAAAAGGGTTGTCATGAGTGGCTTTGGGTTTAGAGAGCCTGCAAAGCATAGCTTGTTGACTGAACTCTGAATGGACCATCCACATTGTGCCACCCAGTCAGTTTCTGCCCTTTTGCCAGGCAGTAATGTAAATGGTTTTATGTGCCACACAATGTTGTGGCACGGTGACCTGGGATCTGAGTTGACCCTTATTGGTCAGTTGCCAGCCAGCCTTTCCCTTTCAGCCATGCTGCATAGCACACCTGCTTCTGAGACTGGGACAACAATTATTTTGCTAGTGAATGACAGGTGATGTCGTGAGCAATTTCTGTCAGCTGATTGTAACCATTTGAGACTAGCTGTCAGAAACTGCTTTAGTAGCCTAGCCAAATTTTAGGCACAACCATTTCGCTGTGATTATTTGAACCACCAGACTTGACATGAAACAAATCTGAAACAATTGTGTAGGTTGCTGTTTCATATTTGAATACATCATCAGCTCATTCTGTCAGCATGCAGAAATCTTAAAACACAGGCATAATCCAAGCAATCTAGATGTGGCCTATCAAGTTAGCCACAAATTGGCTGATGAATGTTTGGAAATTACAGCATGTGTGTAAATGTAACTACTGCTTCTGAAGTTCTGAACTTCGTAATGACACAGTAGTGTATGATCAATGGCACACTAAAAAACACTACTAGAACAGGGTGTTAATAATATAATATAATGCCATGATGAAGCTGCTTTCCATCAGTTGCCAGATTTGGCCCTTGAAAGTTTCACTCATCACAAACTGTTACTGAGGTGTTGCTACCATGTTAGTGGCAATCCTGTGGGGCTGGACCTCACTGGTTGCCAAACACAGCTGTAGTGACCTTCATCGCTCATTCCCATCCTATTCTGCCGTGATAACCAGTCAGCTGAGTCATTCTGTGCATGCTCTTTTTGCTCTGGTTTGTGCTTTGTAGCTGAACTAGCCATGTCTGCATGTGCCAGACAGCCTGACGTGAGCACCCCATCTGCCATCTCAGGGGAGCCTGTGGAACGTCGCCGACCTGACCGGACCTGGCATGCCGATGCTGGAGATGGACGCCAGCATGGCCAGCGTGGGCAGCCGGAAGCGGGCTGGCAAGCACTACACGGTGGAGGACGAGGCGCTGGACAGGATAGCCAAGGAGGTGAGTGGGTGGCCGCTGTACCGCCCCAGCCCGCCTGCGCATTGTCGCATGCGCGCGACCGAAGGACCGCCCTGGCCCGCCGGCACATGGCCGTGCGCGCGCGACCGAAGGACCGCCCTGGTCCGCCGGCACATGGCCGTGCGCGCGCGACCGAAGGACCGCCCTGGTCCGCCGGCACATGGCCGTGCGCACGCGACCGAAGGACCGCCCTGGTCCGCCGGCACATGGCCGTGCGCGCGCGACCGAAGGACCGCCCTGGTCCGCCGGCACATGGCCGTGCACGCGCGACCGAAGGACCGCCCTGGTCCGCCGGCACATGGCATGCGCGCGCGCGCGACCGAAGCCGACCGTCGCCGGCAGCGTGCACCGGTCCAACGAGCGAGCCGTTCTCAAGGTTCAGTTGAATAATGTGGAGAATGGGTTGACTGGTGGTTTTGCATCATCGCGGATCGCTGTTTCAGAAGACTGGTACAATGGATTCCTTTCTGAAGACTGCTTTGTTTCCACTCAGTTATATATATATATATATATATATATATATATATATATATATATATATATATATAATATGTACCCGATCGTCTGAACTTCAGTGTTCTCTGATAGCTGGCTTCCTGTTACGTACAGGTGTAATGCATCGTTTAGCAACTTGCGTCATGGTATTAAACGCCTACCAACAATGGCTCAGATGCGCCAGAAAGCGCATCATTTAGTCAGCACGGGCGTTTTTGTGTCGTGGTCATCACACTTCTGTTGTGGCGGTGATAGGCATGCATTCCTTCGCGCAATACTGCGGTGTTGAGCTCCCAGCAGAGCGCGTTCCATACGGAACCTTCCAATACAGTTAACTCCATGGCTCATGCTGGCCTTCAATGGATCGTGCAACGTTCTTTATGTTGCATGGTTTGTAATTACATCTAGCAAACGGAGTTTCCATTTGTTCTTAAATTCATCGTTGCAATGTGATTTCGCCACGCTCGTCGCTCTAGGCCCCAGGCTCTAGGTCGCCGCTAACTTCAGTGGTGGTGCACGTTTTGTACACAACCCACATTCCCACAGTTACATGACGCTGGCTTAGCCTTCTTCATTCAGTGAGTCTTCCACAGCATGGTGTGACTACGGGGGAATACCCCTATTGAAGCAAAATCTTGGCGAACTGCCAGCGATCGCTGGAAATTCTCAACTCTGAAGCGCACCTTCGCGCGGACCTGCCGGCTGGCGTGAGAACCCTGAAACGCAAAGAAGCATGCATGGACGGCGTCCCATGCGACGTGCGTACTTATAGGTCGTATAATATTTAAATGCACCGAGGTCTGACATGGTGTTAAAGTATTCTCGAGCGGTGTCTGGCTAGTGGGTAGCATATTACACCCATTGCAATATGCCCAATGCACCCATACAGGTTGAGGTGTGTCAGAATGGCTGTGATCCGGTCTTGCGCGGCTGGGTCCCGCCTGGTCCGGGCCGTGGTCCGGGCTGTGGAAAAGGTCGCGCGTCTCGGCGGCGCGGTGCCGTGTACGGCGGCGATGTCCTGTGGCAGCCGGTCGGGACATTGCAGCCTGACCAGGTGGATAGCGCTCCTCAGTGACGCGAATGGCGGGCTGGCCTAGCCCTGTCGACCGGCGCCCGGTCACGGTGGTGGCCTGATAACCGCTGATACGACCCGATCAGACTGCGAACGTGACCGTGACCCTGATCCCGACCCTGACCCTGACCCTGACCCTGACCCCATCCCTGCCCCTGCCCCTGTCCCTGCCCCTGCCCGTTCCCGCTCTGACCCCGTCCCACGCTGGACGCCGGACGGTCCGGTGGCCGCAGACCGCACAGTCGGGCAACGCCGCCCTCTCAACGGCTGGGTTATTATCTGGTGGCAATGTGCGGCCGGTTACGGACAAACAGGGCTCGGAGCCGGTCAGACTGCCGATTAGATTACCGGGAGGCGACGCGGGCCGGGCCAGTGAGCCCGTCTGACCTCGCGGACAGGCCCACCAGGTGCGCCGCGGGCCAGCCGGACCGGGTCGGGCCGGGTCCTGTGGCCTCCACAGTGAGTGGGCAGTGCGCGCTCACAACGCGGCCCTGTGCGGCGAGCTGACTCAGGCGGAACCGAGCCTGCGCCGGCTCAGATGAACCTCCCATCACTAGCACACGCGGCCCGGGTCGCTGATTACCATCTGATATCCGGACTGAAAGTAAAGCATTTCATGGGGCTATAGCATACTGACCGAGATCGAAATGACGGGCTCTGCATCTTTCCGTTGGGTTCCTGAATACCAGACGTGATCGTACGTTTGCTTTGCGATTTGTCGCCGCGGGCTGTCCGGCGGTCGGCCGTTGGCAGGACGGCCGCCGCTCCCGGCCGCCCGGTGCCGCGGGCGCGTCTTCACGCGAGTCAGCGAACTGAACGAGACTAGTGCGACGCGGCGCGGCCTTCGGCGGCGATTGACGGGTTCGCTGCGGGCAAGGCTACGTCGCGCCGCCACCGCCGCGGTGCAGCGGTTCGGCCGGCCGAGACCCGTGAGCCAAGTTGACCCTGGAGTTTGGCGGCGCGTCGTCGTGGGGTTCCGCCTCGACTTACCTGTCGTTAGGGCGCTGTCCACTGGCCAGCCGTCGGACGGCCGGGCGAGGTTATGACGTCACGGCCGACCAGGTGACGTCGGTCCAGGAGCGGCGCCGCGGCTGTCTCGCCGACGTCGACGCTGCACTGACGGCCCTCTCCAGGCCAGGTATCGGCTTCCCGCTCTTGGCAGCGCGGCCGCTTCCTCCCGGCTGTTTTTGTAGCGGGGATTCAGCCGAGTGGGGCGTCGCGCCATCTCTGGCGCTGGTGCCTCACGGCCCTCGCCCGCCCGGCTCCCGCCGGCACGGCTAACCAGACGCACGTGCGGCACGTGCTGCGTGTTGACGGCCGGCGCGTCGCGGAGCCAGCTGATGCGGGACGGAAGCCGGACTCGTCCTGGCACCAGCTGCGGCCCACCGCCCGCCGGCACCGACGACCTAGCGCTGCACTGAGTGCTGGAACCCGGCGTCAAAGGATGCGGCCCGCCGGGTATTTCGGGATGGCCGGAAACAATGCCGCCGGCCAGGCGGCTGAGGCGCAGTGCAGGCGGGACCGACGTCGAGCTGCGTCGAGCCTTGGAACGGTCCAGCAGCCGGCCCGCCGGCCACGGACGGCGTCGCCCCGCGAGTGTCCAAAAATACGCGGCAGGCGGCTGGTGGGGCGGCTGGAAGCCGGCGCAGTGCCACAGCGGCCGTGTCGCGTGCGGCTCCGGACGCAGCGCAGCCGCTGCCATGGTGGGCCGCACGCCCGCCCTCTCCGAGCCGCCAGCCGAGCAACCGGCTGAGCGCCCCGAGCCGCGTGCGCCGCTGGCGTACGGCGCCATGGAGCGCATGGCGCCCATGCTGTACGTGCGCAGCTACCGGACACTGCGGCGGCGCATCGCTGAAAAGACGGCGCGTCCGGCGACGCCGGCGGGCCGCGAGCTGGCGCGGCCCAGCTACACGCCGCACCAGCGCGCCGAGGTGCGGCGTGTGTACACGCGCTCGCTGAGCCGGCCGCTGGCTGGTTCGGCCCCGCGGCTGGGCGGCAGTCGCGGCGTCACGCCCAGCTCCGGGTCGCCGCGCACGCGTGAGCTAACGCCCAGCACACCGGAGCGCCAGCTGCGCCGGCCGCGCAGTCCGGCGCGCCTGTTGCCGCTCTGGACGCCCGCCGACATCACCATCAGGGACGACCCGCTGGACGTGAGTACCACGACTCAGGGACGATCCGCTGGACACGAGTGCCCGGCGCCGCTCGGCACCGGGCTTCGGACATCGTCGCCAGGCCGGTGGCGAGAGGCGCCGCCCCTACAACCGGGCGCGCGCGTCTCGCCATGCGCGGCACGGCCACGACGCCGCCGTACATGGCGCGCGCGGCGCCCCGACCGCCGGCTGCCGATCAGCTGCCGGCGGGGCCGAGCTGCGGCCGGTACGGTCCGGTCCGGCCCGGTCCTGGCAACTGTCGGCAGGCGGCGGTCAGGCCGATGGACGCTCCCGACGGCCGGCCCTTACAGGCTCTGTAGTCTGTCCGTCGCCATCACCCGGCTCGAGACACGAAGTAGCACTTGTTGGCTGAATGCGTACATGCAGGGTTTATAGTCAGAATGCGGCGACTTGATTAGAGCGGGTGTTCTGTGGCTGGCGCACATTCAACTCGCGACTGGCTACCGGTCAGGAGCTTCCATTGCGTAGCGGTTATCATCTGACTTGCACGCTTGTCCGAGCATGCTGAGAGCTCGCTCTTTGGCTGAGACTGCCCGCGGGCCATCCACGTTGAGAGATGCTCAGAGTTCAGCCGAGCTGTTTTGCCCAGCCGTCACGCCCGAGTGCGCATACCCGGTAGTCGGGCGCCGTGCGGCGCGTTCGGCCACGGTGACACCCCGGCGGCGTGTCTTGCCGTCTTCCAGTACCGGGTCGTCACGTGATCCGCTCGGTGCCGAACGCTCTCCCGGCCTCTCGGGATGCCTCCCAAGCCGAGCGCTGCAGTCAACTCGTGAGGCTGCGGCGGCGGCGGCAGCTTGGCCATCGCCGCTGTTGGGAGGGTGGCGGTCCGGGTCGCCGTCCGGGTATGGCCTGCCGCTCCCTGCTGGCCGGCCGGCAAAAACGGTGACGGCGGCATCCGCTCCCGGATGCGGCGCGGCGCCTCTCGGCGGTCGTTGTGTCGCCGCCGGGCCACGCGCCGGCCCGTCACGCACCTCATGTCGGCCGGCTGCCCCCACCCCGGTGACCCGGCGCCCTCGGGCGGGAGCAGACCGCACATCAGCGGTGGCGTTGCTGCTCTCTCGAGCGCAGTGCCGCACCAGAGCTCCCGCTGTGAGCCCGCCAGCCCTGGCTCAGCTCGCTGACACACGGCCCCAACGCATGGCCGGCACGGACCGACCTGGCCCTGCGCTCTTTCAGTGCTGCTGCGTGTCAGTGCTGCCCTGGCCGTCTACTGCATGGGCGGCCGTGACCTGCCGGCCTCGGCG